TTAGGGTTTAGGGTTTAGACCGTACGTGTAAGAAATCCCCCAGCAGGGACCCGTCATGTTGGGGAACTCTCAAATAAGAAGGAAAGCGGCTCAACGAGTTGGCTTGTGGGGGGCTTGGCACCCAACAGTGTTTTCAAGGTTGGGGTTGGGGAGCTTTGGATTGTGGCTTCTGGAGCTTAGGAAGGTTGAGAGGGCGAGGGGAGATCCAGAAGGCTTTAGGATTCCAGCTTAAGGTTTGTGAGGTTTCTGGAATGGGAGTGTGCAATGAACCACCAAAGCATAGACAGACAGGATCCTGAGAGAAATAATGCGGCACATCCTGAACTCGTGGAGATCTCATGCCACTCATCCCACGCGACAACATGAAGTCCTCACTGCTCTAAAGGGGATATGCGGCCGCTTTTTAGCGTCTCAACAGATGTGGCTGTAGCGCTAATACCACTAAACAGTAGTTTCCGTTTTCTTTTCCATTATACCTATATAAGTCCTAAACCCTAAATCCTATAATAGTCCCCTATGTACCCTCAACCCTCCTTCCTTGAAATCCACTTCCGTCTAAACTGCATGGCCAGCATCAAGTTCCCCTGACCTATGCCGCCAACGCCGACACTTCGAGTCTTGGGAATGAGGATTTGAGTTCCTGAGGCCCCGTATTTAGGTGAACTATCATCTAGACTCCCAAGTATCCCCCTCAACAACCCCTATAACGGTCCCCTATATAATCAATCTCCTTTTAGGAGTTTAGACTATATAGCTTAGGTGAAGCTCCTGGAAATGCATTGGCCAGTCACCCCAGAAACTTGCGTCATCTCTCTAAACTGAAAAACCCTAGACTGATAAATCTTCTGCCCTCAGACTTCACACAACCGCGCTACACAAAACAACTTACACCCCAAATACCTCATTGTATGGCAGTTCCCCAAACTAGGGGTACCCCAAGTTTGACACCCAAAACACTATAGTATAAACTAAGGGAACCCCAACAGGGCACCTCTAACTTTGGGAAAGCCAGGCCCTGAACCCTATAGAACCCTATAGAACCCAAATACCCTATTAATTATCAGAAAACCCACACACTCTTCCCACGGACAGCGGCCTTGGTAAGCTCTTGACGCAGCTGCTGCCGCATCTCCAGTTCTGCGGCCTCTGCTGAGACGGACGGTCTCACTCCCGCTCCCAGCCTACGTAGTCCGGGTTGCTCTTAAGGAACTTAGCCCTATAGGGCTACAGTTACCTAGGGTATATAGAACCCAGTTCCCATTATTTAGGTGACTGGAGCCCTGGGGTAAGTTAGGTTAGTATATTGGGGAAACCATATTCATTACGATGTATATATATACACACCCATTATGGTAGCTTAATTTACTTCTTAACGGCAACCCAGTAGTTGTTGGGTCAAGGCTTGGAATTTGGATCTTTTGGTGTTGGGGCTTTGGCTTTCGACGAAGAGAAGCTGCTCCGCGCACATGCCCCTGCCCCGGTAGTCCCCATTACTTCCAGTCCGGGTCCAGGTTCTTCTAGAATGGGATGCCATTTCATGCCAGCATCATGAGCTTCCAGCTTCAAGGAGCCTATAAAAGCTACAGTCTAAAATGCTCACAACCCCCTTAATAACCCCTACAGTAGTCCCCTATATAATACCCTATATAACCCCCTTAAAGGAGTTTAGACTATAGCTCAACAACAAAGTTCTTATTGCAGAACGGGTGGAAGTCTGGGAAGCACAGTGCCTTGGGGGCCTACTACTGATGCCCTTATCATTTTTTGAGCCTAAACCCTCTACTACGGCCTAAATGCACACTATTAGGGGCCCAAAATGCCCAAGTAAGGGTACAGTAGTAGGAGGGTCTTAGAAGATACTCGACTGCTGCTTGATCTATGAGGCCAAGGCCTGCCAGCTGGCACTTACAACTCCCTTTACTGCTTTCTATATGGTTCTTCAACAAGGAAACCGCTTGAACAATCCACCGCCCAGCAAAGCTGGATGTGTTGACTTTCTGGCAGCCCTAACTTCAAGTTCCTCAATCGCAACTATGCGCACTCGCCCTCATTTAGTCTTTGTGTGGGGCGTGGGCACCATATCGGGCGTAATCAGCATCATGGCCATTTCTGGGATATCCGAAATTTTAAGCGCTGTAGTAACTTAGTATATCAGGGTACCCAAAACAGAACCGTAATTCTGTGAGTGTCTTAAGAAGACATGGAAAAGCTAGGAACCCCGCCGGGAGGTGCGGCTTCGAGTCCAGGTCCTGCATCCCAAGGCCATCCGTTTGTCGCCGTGGCAGCAGCACCCAGACCCTCCTAGTACCCTTCATTGGGGATAAAAGGGAATGGATAAGATAATGGAAACTACTACCTTATTTGGGGTTTAGGGTTTAGTGCACTTAATTGGGGATATATGGCCCCTCATCCTGGGTACTTAGGCCCTAGAGAGTCTTTGGCCCTGCATGTTGCATAAACAAAGCTGGGTGGTGAAGTCATAGTTCGTCAAACAAAACGAACACGGGCTTTCCGAGCAACTACCCTGGGCCTAGAGTCAGGGTTCCTGCCTCCAGAAATCTTATTACAGGCTACCGTGGGCTTCTTCGACTTCCTGGGCCCTTTTTCTCCATTTCAAAGCGCTGAACTCGGCTTCGTATCCTCGTGGAGCTGAAGCTCAGATGATACCGAACAAACAAACAGTATAAATAGCAGGGTGCCTCTATCTGCAGGGGAGGGGCGGCTTACGTAAAGTGGGTGTGAGGAGCCTGACTGCGCACGCTTGCCTACCTTACATTAAGTGAACAGAGTCTCAACCGAGATCAATCACAGCGCAACAAGTCCAAAAAGCACGGTTTGCCCTCCTCTTACCCTTGACAGAGCCCTTGTTGCTCAACCCTCAAGACACATCAGTAGGGTATATTATATGTACATATATATATATATATATTAGGTGTATTCAGGGGTATAAAGTGCAAAAGAGAATGGAAACGACTATAACGGGTTACATAAGGATTACTGCAGGAATATATTAGGGTGATAAGTACTTGTTGAGACACCGCCCGGGATCAGCCACCGCACAGCTTCGGCCTTAAACCTCACCTGACCCTTCAGATGATATCATACTTTGCATAACATGAAGAGGCACCCAAGCCGATCAACATCTAGAAATTTCTTTCAAACGTTAATCCCTGAGCCTTAGACGCTTAGACCCTTGATCGAACGAAGGCCGCGGTCAGTCAGTGCAGTCCAGCCTCCAGTTGGCGCGTGTACGCCAAGACAACTAGGCGATGAAGCTCTGACGTTGCCCTTGCAGCATCTGGGGATTGCAGTCTTCGAGCAAAAGCTCTAAGACACTGTTAATCGTCCCGCTGTCTCTGGAACTCTTCCATCCCTACCGCGGCTCCCTATTCACTTACCATGAAGCTATATGAGGCAACAGCAACCCGCTCTAAGCGTCCTACCTTCCTTGCCAGGGGTAAAATGGAATTTGCCTTCAGTATCTGCCGGTCCTGGTTCCATGATTGCGTGCATGGGGTTAAAGCCCCCAGCACCCCAACAAATTGAGGTGGAAAGATCCATCCTTCATCCCAGGCATTGTGGGCTCCAAGATGTCAGAGAATGGCATGTAGGCTTTCAGGTCTACTCTGAAGGACTCGTTTGACTTGTGGTCAAAGAACTGCTTATTCTGGTCCAAAGAGTTATGATGGTATATGACCCAACTCCATGGCCTGTCAAATCAGCTTTCCTCAAGATGCTGGCTCTGTAGACTCTGTAGTCTTATTGGGGTTTGGTAGGGAAGAATAGAATATTTTCATATAGGGGTTATACTATTTTCTTTTATCCGTACTAACAACCAGTAAGTAGTGGCCTCTGTAATGGCTAGATTCGATCTCGGCTGTTAGTCGTATGCTTTCAGACATACTGAGAACTGGGATGTGCAGCAGTCTTGCAGCTAAACGCGTCCTAAAATGCGGGGTGCCCTGAAAAATGAGCTCCAGTACCCGAAAGCCCTTGGCCAACCCTAACTGAGCGAAAACCATGCCTAGAACGTTCACCACGCTTACAGCAGGTGTTGATTGATTCTACTATGACCATTGGTTCTGTTCCTCTAGGTTTTCCATTGAACACCTCTGATTCTGTCGTAAAAAGGACTGTAGGCGCAGCACCGGGCCTCAGCATCAGCTGGTCGTAGGAGGGTCTCCCTGTCACGGGCCGCACCTGGGAAAGTTCAGCAAGGTGCAGGGTCTATGGCTGAGATTTTCCGCGGGCTGATGATTGAACCTGTGTTGGCTAGGAATCTAAGAAGTGAGGATTCCTCGTGAACCGCTTTTTTGAAAGAGCTTGGCCAATGCATAGTTAATAGTACTATTAATCGTATAGTAGCAGTTGTAATAATAGTAATAGTAGTGATAATAGTTTACCCAAAAACCTAACTTTGGAACGTTTGAAGTCCCTCAGCCCGCTACTCGGACTCCTCGCTCAGGCCCTCGATTCTCAATCCCACTGAATGCTCCAGCGCGGCAAACTTTTCAATCTTCTGCCAGGTACCTAGAAGTTGAAACTTGAAGCTCTCAACCGTCACCCCGAAACGTCCCACAACGCCTTGGGCCCGGGCATCGATCAGAGAGCCTTGCTGATTCCTGTACAGGCCCTTGAAGCCACCGGAGACCGGGAAGGCCTTCCTGGCTGAATTTCAGGGCTCCCTAAACCCTATATACAGCAGTTAACATGTCATTTCCATTTGGTTTTCCACTTGAGTCTCCACTATTGGGATAATATTTCTATATTTACCATAAAACCTGAACTCTTAGGAGCTGGGGATATGAGGCAGGGCTTGCTTCAAGGAACTTCCTTGCAGGATGGTGAGGCCTTTCGGTGCCAGGATTTGGCTTCCGGGATTGCATTCTACCAGGGTTAATCCCCTCCCCCTAATATACGCCCCCCTTGATATTTCATACCCCCAATATATCATCATATACCACATGATGGGAATAGTTTTTCACATGCAGGGGGCTGGATGTTGATATACCGCACAATGGGAGCATTTAATATTGGGGGGGTGGGGGGGGGTGTTTGATATGAGGGGGAGGGGATTAGTCGGATCCAAGCCATGGGCTTTGGGATGGGAGTGACTCACAAGACTATAAACCACCACCGCATCGCAACTTCAGGTTCTGAAATTAAGGCCGTTTCAATCCCCCATTGGGGGTAAAGTCAGGTGAAGTAACGATAGTTCCAAAAGTATCACTCAACTTCTGCAAGCTGAGCTGGCATCCATGAGTTTGACTTTCCATCCAAATTCCGGTTGCGTCAAGACATGTAGGGACCTACAGTGATCCATCTTAGTTTTTTGAAATTGTACGACTTGCGCTCTTTCATCCAAAGCTGTGCAGATTGCACTGTTAAAACATATACAGGAATCCTTGTCCCCCGAAGCACCTAACCCTGATTCGATTTCCCTTTACATCCTGAATCGCTGCATACATAGGCTGTTCGATTAAACAGAAAGATTGACAGAATGGCAGATTACCAGGTTGCTAGATCACTGCATCCACAGATCGATAGATCAAGGGGTTGGTAGATGGTTGATTTGCAGACAAACCTTCCACTCTATAAACCCCCTACACCCTATAAACCCCATAAACCCCATGAACCCTATAAACCCTATAAACCCCATAGACCCTATAAGCCCCCCAAGGAGAGTCATGGAAGAACCGCTCCGGCCCTGCCTGAGGCCCTGATCGTCTTCGTCTGGCTCAAGCTCGAAGGCTTCTACCGGCACTTTGCGGTAGCCTGTTTGGTGTAGGGCTTAGGGTCAATGGCTTGGGGCGTTCCCGCGTGAAGCATTTATGATACAAGGAGTGGACTTCAGGTGTTGAATGTGCATCCTGTCCATGCTTACTTCGGTGTTAAGGGCTTGGAGGCTTTGGGTTGGGGCACAGCATACACGGTCAAGCCTGTCCCTAGCCTAGAGGGTCCAAGAAACCCAGTCTTAGGTCCCAAGTACCAGTGAGAGTTTAGCATCTTGAGGTCTAAAACACAGTTTTTTGCGCACTTGGACCCTTAGGGTAAGCATCGTTTTGATGGCCATCCTAGTCCCGTGCACTGGTCCAGCTGCAAAACTCACTTCTGAAGCATTCTTGTGAAAGACCTTTTTTGGAGAACGTGCAAGTGTAATTATAAGTGGGGTCATGCGTACCTGTAAGCCTGTAGTTAGAATTCTATCGTCACACTATATAACATATACTCGAACCCAGCGGGATACGTACTATAACCCCATGCAATTAAACAAGGTGCCCGTGGACTTTAACGTGTTTAGCGGGCGCCTTGGGCTGCAAGCGCAGCGTTGTAGTCGAAATCTTTGGGTGGCCAGTCGGGAAGGACATACCACCAGCGACCTGAGGCTTCTTGGCTTAGGCCTCAGGTTTAGAGCCCCGACCTAACATTTTTGATTTTTGGAACCGCCGGATAAGGCTATGTACGTCAATAGGCGTAATTTGCAAGAATTTGAACCCTAAACCCTAAACCCTAAATCCTAAACCCTAAACTCTAAACCATATGCTTGGAACTTGGGTGTTTTGCTACCTAGGGTTCACTGGGGTCTCGGCTCTAGGAGTTCCTCTTGCACCTACGGTTTAGGGTTCAGGGTTTAGGGTTCGCCAGCGCAGCTGGGCGCCCCAGTCAGTTCATGGGTCAGCTTGCTTTCTAGGGGGCTGCTTCTTAAACTTCGGCTTTTTTCGCGTTCGGTTTTCGTGTTTTTGTCAGCCTCCTGGCGCAGAAAAAAAATAATAAAAAAATTCGACCTGGACCCTTTTGGCGCATTTGCCTTTTCGGAAAGGCAATTTTGTTGGTGGAAGTTTTACGATTCTTGGGACAGCATTTTTGGTCGTCCGGCCTCTTCTGGGCTTTTTCTAGGGCCTCGGGCCTTTTCTGGGCTTTTTCTAGGCTTCTGGGCCTCTTCCCAGCCTCTTCTGGGCTTGGGGCCTCTTTCTGGGCTTCAGCCTTTCTGGGCCTCGGGCCTGTTCTGGACCTTTTGTGGGCTTCTGAAACTCTTCCCAGCCTGTTCTGGGCTGAGGGCTTCTGGGCCTCTTCCCAGCCTTTTCTGGACCTCGGGGCCTTTTTGGGCTTTTTCAGACCTCGGGCCTCTTCTGGGTTTTTTTGGGCTTCTGAGCCTCTTCCCAACCTTTTCTGGGCCTGGCGGCCTCTT